CCCCCGATGCGTTACCTGTCATGGACGGAGCGCTGCATCCGGCTTTTGCAGGTAGTTAGGTTACACAGCAGCCGGCTTCCCCACTGCTTGTGTAACCTAACTTGGTGGTGAAGCAAGAGCTGTCACAGCCTCCTAATCTGTGTTAGAGGCGGGAGCTCTGTGGATGGCTTGGGCCAATGGCAAAGCGCCATTAGTCCAAGCTGTCCAATAAAAAAAGATTTCGATATCTCAGCAGTGACGAGCGAGTGAGGGGCAGGGAGGCTCCTCCCTGTCTGCTCCTTTCCTCCTCCCCACACAGCTTGGATACCAAGCTGGGGGCGAGGTTTCAGTGTGAGGGGGTGGAGCTTCGGCAGGCTGGGGATGCCTCACCCAGCCCAGAAGGCACGGCACGTCACTGGAGCTAATTGATGTCCATTCAGAAACCCATTCATGGCCCCCTGACTGTAAATGAAGTCCTCCCGGGAAGTTCCTCCAGGCCGTCCATTAGAGTCCTGTCTGAGTGGGCTATGGAGAAGGCTTGGATCTCCTACAGACCACGGCACGGGCCAGCTGGTCCTTCCCATTCGATCTGTGACCACTCCTAGATCACAACTCAGCTACAAATGTGCTTCTATTTTTGTCTTGTGTCCCCATTGGGGAGATTTCCAATGAATTCCGCTCAGATGAGCAAAGACAACCAATAGAGACCTTACCCTCAGCCCCTCCCCCCCCCGTATTGAAAGCAACATACAAAGTTTAGATTTGACAGTCATCATCACCGTGACTAGAAGTGTCCCCGCTGGAAGATTTCCCCTCTCTTCTTCTTCTGGTGACAACTGTAAGCGTAGGATCTTCCCTCACCTTCGGTTTCAGCAGTCACCAGGAACTATAGAGTCGGGAATCTTCCCACTGAGGACACTTCCAGACCTAGCAGAGGCTCTGATCTGTGACCACTCCATCTAAGACTGAGAAACAAAACATTTCAGTGTCGTATTGCTGTCGACAGTCTCCACAGGTCACCGGCACACACACAGATGACTTCAATATCTCTTGCAGTGACGTAACAATCGCCATAGCGACCCAGGCAGCTGCTATTGGGCCCGGGCACAGGGGGGGCCAGGGCATCCCTCTGATGCCGTGCGGGCCGCCTGGGTCGCTGTGGCATATCAGGGCAGCTGCCGCAGAAGAGACTGGATCCGGCGTTAGACCAACTAAAAACGCCGGGGGGGGGGGCCCATACAAAATGTTGCTATGGGGCCCTGTGATTTCTAGTTACGCCCACCTGATTCTCTTGGATATGTTTATGGAAGAATGTCACGACACGTCATTAGGAGCTGACGCCGGCGTTTCGGGGACCTCGCAGGGACCCTCCATCAGAGCCACATAGCGAGTTCATCTGTGTGCGTGTGCCGGTGACCTGCGGAGACTGTTCTGAGCTTTGCGCGGCGCCACCCGTGTGATCACCACCATTGGGAGGTTGCAGACCGTAAGGCGTGCGGGTGGTTCTTGGGGTAGATCCCACCACTCACAAGATGCGGATTGTACGACGGCGGCGGAGATCTCCCGTCATGTTGTGTGTCCATCACGCCCGGATGACCTCACCTGAATGTCACACGGCTCCCGTCCACCCAGAGCCAGGAACTGACGTCCGCACTGTCCCTCCTCAGTCCTAACCAGTATCTGTTTACTCCGATAGCTGGCAGCAGAGAAATCTGGATCAACAGACAAAGAAACGTCCATCAGATATAACAAATACACCGGAATGGACTCAACGGATCACTATGACCTACACAGGCCCGGATTTCCCACAAGGCCACCGAAGCCTGGCCTCGGGGGGCGGCAGAGCGCAGAGGGGCGGCAGCGGTGACCTTGTGGGGAAGTTGCGGGCGCCGGTGTAAGGTGTCCAATCACGACGGGGCGGCCCGAGGCCCCGCAGTGTGCGGCCAATCACGAACCCCCCCCCCCCGCCCTGCCATCTGGTTGCCATTCTCAATTGATGGGGAGGGGGGCTAGCGGCGCGGGGGGGGGGGCGTATTGTGGAACCTGGCCTTGGGGCGGCAGGGGGAGTAAATCCGGCCCTGGACGTACAATCAGTCTTTATCTCTTGTTATTCTTTTAGATAGAGAGACTTTTTAAGCAGGACTCTTAGGGGTGAATGTATAAAGAATTCGGAGAGCCATTCACCCTGTGAATCTCGGGTCAATCTTCATTGTGTGTGAATAAAGGGAAAGCGAACGCTCTTAGCATATTTTCTTTTCAGGTCAAACGTTATGTAATACCGCATTATGGCCACTAGGTGGAGCCGAGGAGCCCGGAGAATAAATACTTACGTC